GACGTTCCTTTCTGGAAGTTCGCCGGCCTTTCAGGAAGACTTATGTAGCACGATTCTGCTCCCATACGTCATGGGTGTTGATGGGCTGATCTTCTGGAGCAGCAGCAACAACATGACACAGCGATGTGATACAATTACGAACTTCCTCCAGACTACACTCGGACCGTGAGTTCCCTGTCTTGCTCGTCATAGAATGTTCACTGGAAATCGTGCTCTGAAATCTTTTTGTGAATGGTACTTTTTTTCTTATCAAGTATCCATTAAGAACAAAGGGGAGAATCGGATAAAATTTTCTCAGCGCTCTTTCAGCTCCCCAAACTTCACGGCCATCTTTCGAACGCCTCATTCATGTGCCTGCCTTGTTGATAATTTCGTGGTGACACCTTGCTTTGCTCAGCAGAAAAAAGTTCTGCTGCCAGCACAAATTCAGATTACTCCAATGAATAGATCGGAACAAATATTGCCGAAAGCGGTAAAACTGGGAACATGAGCGCCTTCTCAGAATAAGAAATCACTTGCAATTTACTTCAACGGATTGGGCACCCCTCTGAAGCCGCTTCTACTTCGACCATCGCACAGCAGAGGCTTTCAATTGGAGACTAGGTCGACGTGTGTCTCGCGCACTGTTCACCCTTCTGGAAAGCGAACCTTCGGAAACCTCAATAGAGATAGGTGGGGAAAAGTTGCTCGGGATTGGTTTGCTCCAACCATCCAACATAGATTCCATGCAAAATTCTGCCGGAGCACCTGTCATCTTTTTTGGAAATGTCGCACACTTAGCGAATAAGAAATACCGTTTCCCATGTATTGTCCGGAAAGTTCTCAGCGTTTTGAGTGTTTCACTTTAAACGATCATAACTTTCTTAATACTCATCGGATTTAATCGAAATAAGCACCGTTCGAATCAGCACACTTTTGCCAATGTGACACCAGTCGAGAAATCCCATCAAAGAAAAAACTGGGTGGTCGAGAATCCACGAAATCCACGAAGGCTTTTTTGCCTGGTCCTGATTGATGAAGTATTTTCCAGCAAGGAAGTTCTGAAAATGTTTGAAAAGGTGATAGTCGGTTGGTGAAAGGTCTGGAGAATATGGCGGGTGAGGTAGAACTTCAACCCCCAATTCGTTCAATTTATGGATAGTGATTTGTGAAACGTGTGGGCGGGCGTTGTCATGCAAAAGAATCGGACAAGTGCTGGCTGCAGCTGACGCAATTTTCGGTACATTTCGTCGATTTCTTCACAGTAGGACTCTGCTGTGATGGTTTGGCCTGGTGACAAAAAGTTATAGTGGATCACACCAGCCGATGACCACCACACTGTGACCATAATCTTTTTTTCGTGAGGATTCGTTTGGAAATTGCCTCGGTGGTTCGTCGGCATCCAACCACTGTCCGGAACGTCTCCTGTATCATACATGATCCATTTTTCATCACAGGTGACAATTCGGTTCAAAAACGGGTCGTTTCTGTTGCGCAAAAGCAGTGAAGAAGAAAACTCGAGACGTGCCAATTGCTGCTGGTACTCGAATTGTGGGGCACCCTTGTCGAATTTTTCATCTTTCCTATAGCGTTTCAAGACCATCTGCAACAGTGGATTTGCCAACGCCTAGCTTTTCTGCAATCTCTCGAACTGTTTGGGATGGGTCAGCCTCCACAAACGCCTTCAAATCCTCGTCAGGTATTGACACGAGGTTCATCCTCAAGGCTGAAATCTCCAGAACGAAATTTGTCGAACCATTGTCGCACGGTGCTTTCTCCAACACTATTGGGCCCCCACACCTGGTTAATTTGTCGAGCTGTCTCGACTGCGGATTGACCCAATTTGAAGTTGAAGAAAAATTTCGTCTAAAGTTGCTCTTTTGACATGCTTCAAAAAGTCTTGGAAAAAGGGGGTTTGTCAAGCAATGGTGAAACGAAAATTATACCATCAGATAGCGCAAAAAATTCTCTATTAGTGCTACTGAGACGCAAGGGAGAATAAGTTTTTGATCAGCAATGAATGTACAGAAAATAGTGACACAAAACGCAACTTTCCGGACAACCTAATACATAATGTCTGACACGGTCTGCTGAATTTTTTATTCGAAAAACCAGGGGATCAAAAGCGTGAGAATGTCTCTCGTTGATAAGTGGATGATTTTGTTAAGTCATTCATTGCTTATGCTGTGAGTTCCAATAAACTGAAAAACGTGCGTGCAGACGCTATGCGGAAAGTAACACACATGGTGGTGGTGGTGGCTCTGAAAGGTGAGCCCAAGTTGCTAAAATGAGTACTTCCCACTACCCCCTCTTTCTTGATCAATTTTCTTTTTGCATCTGCAGAAGCGACGTATTACAGCCTCGTTCAAGATGTCTTCAGCGGCAATTATGGGACAAGGGCAGTGTACAACGAGACGTGAGCTGCTTACATTTGTCACTTAACCCTCACACTCTCTCTTACGAGAACCCTATTTGAACTTATTTATTCTCTCGTTATTTTTCATCGACAAGATTCGCTAATGAGGTAATCTGCTTGTTCATCATTCCAGAAAAGAATGGGACTTTGACGAGATTTGTCAGCCCTATATAGCGAACATTACCGAATACACGGATAAGTTTGGATGTAATATGACCTCGCAGAGACTGTGATCTATGGAAGTCACTTCACTGTGTCTAGTCAAGTACTGATGGCTTTATATGTGTCTCTTGTGATATGGCTCCTTGCCTCATAGAATTCATATTATTAATCACGATCGCAATAAAGACTACTGGTACCACATCTCCCCCCAGAATCACACTTCTTTTCCTGAGCACACCGAATACAGTTTATAACATCGCAACCAATCGGAGGCGGTGACAGCAGCGCGGCATGAGCCCGCCTCCGGCTGGCTTGCTCTGTAATGGTGATTGGGTAATGATCGATCTAGGAAGAAAACATTCAGTGCTAGGAATGCTGCAGGCGGATACTGACTGGTTGCAATAATATAAAATGCAGGCGAAAAATGTTGGTAGGAGCGCAACTTTCGCATAATCGGCTTGGAGGGCTAGGTCGAATTCAATGACGCAGCTTACATTTCTTCAATATTTTGAAATGCCTGCGCATTGGATTCCGTTTGACGGACGCCCAATTCCACACGCATCACACGTTGAGCCTAAACCAGGTGCCTGCGGCCAAGGTGTCCGTACCATAGGATATTGACCTCCTTCCTCTCATCGAGCTTTCGCCAGCTACCTTCGCTCTCCTCAATCAAATATCCAATTTACACTTTTCTTGTCCTATTTCTACCAGCATGTACCATCCTGATTTATACAATCCGCTATGTCCGTGCGTGTGTGTGTGTGTGCGTCTGCCTGTTTGTCACGAAATTCATAACGCCGTCCGGGGAATGTCAATTTAGCTAAGTTGACCTCACTTAGCACCTTTCCGCCCTCGCCTGTGGGGACACCGGTGAGATCGCCTGTGGGGCGACCTTGCCTAATTGGCTGCGCTGGCTGGTGCCTCTCACCAGCATTTCCAGCTCAGTGAATATTATTGATTAATAGAAGAAAGGGGAAATCCAAGAGCCAAGA